AAAACAGTAGTGTATGATACCAATATTAACTGCAATAGGTTAGGCACAATCCAGAATTTGGGAGTTAGAGCAAGAAAAACACCTTCATGCAGCTATTAAGGATTCCTTCTTGTTTCAACATTGAAAGGTGTTAGAAGAAAAGTTTCTGTACTAGTTTGATGCTGTGGAACATGTCTTTTGGTTATACGAGTGAAAATGTTTTAATATTTGAAGCAGTACCAAGAAAATTATCACTTTGCAGAACAGTTTATATATTTCAATGTAATGAACTAAAAAATACTTGTTTTTCTGTGAGAAAAAGTATTACCACAAAACTTTAACAAATGTTTTCCTGTAGATTACTGATGTTAGAGCTTTTGTTTGCCAAACTATCTAATAACCATGCTTTGTGCCCTTGCCTTTTGTTCATACTGCATTTTACTGTAAATGATTTTCTTCAGACAATTTTATAGATATGGAGCTATATAATGCTAACTAAACTTTGTCCATTAAAAATGAATTGCTTAATCAAGTATCTGAATAACAGAATTTAGAGGTAAGTTATATTTAATATTTATTTTAAACTAGCTACACAGCATGATATTGTATGTACACTACAAACAAAGTTTTGGTGTATTTATAAAAATTTTGAATACACCAATAAATGAACTAATTCACAATTTGTGTGTGTGTGTGTGTGTGGTTTTACAACCCAAGGCAAATAAACATACATTCTTTAACACATAAACGACATACATAATAATTCGCTATTATGCAATAAGTTTTCAAATGTTAACATCACACAAACTCCTCAAAGTTTCAATACTACAATCCTAATTAAAAGACATCTGCAATGGCAACTACAAAATCTGTTTTAATCATGGAATTAGACATAATAAAATACCTCCTGGATTTAGCATACACTACATCCACCACAAACATCAATGAAGAAATTATATATCTATTTCAATGCTTCACTAACAAGAAGCCAATACACTTTCATACCATATACAAACATAATTTTGATAAAAGAACTAGATTCATTTCCACCCCCAGAAATAAAAAATTTAGTACATCAAGGAAATTATACAACAACCCACCTCATCAAGAAATATTTACAAAATAGTGTAACTACTGCCCAGGTTTGTTCACAGATCTAACAGGATGCAATTTAAACAGAGAAAAGAACATCAACCCCAACTTCACCCATGTTCATAAACATGTTCGAAAAAACAACCACATGTCCAAAAAATTATTACCACATGAAAATACAAGCCAGATATTAACAAAGGAAAAACCAAACACCCACTAACAAACACAAAGAAACTCCTGTGTGTTTTTGTGCATCATTATTTCCTTCAGATTATTCTCATTTTATCCTATTAGTCTTGACACAACATAATTAGATAAATTCCTCTATATAAAAAATAAAATACCTTTCTTTTCAACAAACCTTATGACATCTTATAACATGCAAGTAGTTTGGGTGATTGTCACATAGCACAATGCCAGAGGGAGGGGAGAGGTAGGGATGATGACATCATAGTTCCATGAGTTGCATTGCAAGTGCACCATGACAGGCAGAAGTTGTCCAGAAAGCATGATGCTAGGATGTCATGACAGGTGAATGTCACCACAACAATAAAAGTAGTTCAGAAAGTGTATTGGAAGTTCCATAAAGTGGAACCAGAGGGCACATGGCTAGGCCACCATGATAATCTCATCATAGTGTCTCAACATGTTATTAATGCCTAGATTTAATTATGTTCTAATAATTAATATTAATAAAAATATATGAACATGTTGTGTTTGTTGTGTGTTCATTTATTTGATTTTACGTGTACATATATGTACTATAATCTGAATCGGTAATGATTCAACTGTAGTTTGTTGATGTCCGCAACAGGCGAGTGATCAGATACCACACCACACAATGAAAATGAAGGCTAGGAAATTTTCATATTTTATGTAATATTCTTCAAAATATGAATGTCTCTACCCTGATTCTTCAATGTGATCAGAAAAAATTAAGACTTTCAACAGCAGTTAGTGCTTAATTATAACAGTTGACACACAAGTGTTTTTACAACTAGTGCACAATTGGCCATGAAAATAGGACCATGACACAAGCAAGGAAAACCCTCACCAGCCAATCAGCAGTCAGAATGAGTGGTTCCTTGAGATGTCACATGATACATGACGTAGGTAATTCTCCCAGTAAGTAGTAAATCTGTGGTTTACTGTATAAATATGACGTGTCAAAAAATAGATCACTTACATTTTAGTACATAGATCGATTATATCTCACAAAACCTCAACAAAAGTGACAGCATAAACACCTCACTCTCAAAGGAAAGGTCAAAATTATCAAAACACATGCAAAAGGGTGCCAAATGTTTTCATGTGGCTGCTGAAATGCGAGTTGGCAAAATGCAAATTGAAAAAATTGTAGCCAATGAAGTTAACATCACAGTTATGGAAAGCAGTTCTAATTTAAACATGGTAAGTCACCAAAGTGCGTAAAACTGCAAATCATGAACTTAACAAGCTAGCGTTTGACTAGTTCTTTGACGGTAAAACTAAGAACATTCCTGTTTCTGGAAAGTTGATCCAAGATTAAATATTTTACATAAAACACAAACAAAATAGTTTTAAGTTTTCTTTATTGAACTGTTATCCATCATATGTATTATTTGATCATAAGTATTATTATACCAATTTGCTAAATCATCTGATTATACAGTATGTAAACCATTATGTTCAAGTCTTGGCAATAGCAACTAGCACAGCTTGAACTCAGTCATTCATTATCTGGTTATTGATCCTTTGAAGAACAACTTCCGGTCAGATACGACTTTCTTATCATGGCAGATACGTCAGTTTTATGTTAGAGGGACTACAAACTTATTAGATATCACGAATAAACTTATTTCGTCTGGAAACGTATCAAAGTAGCAATCAAAATACTATATCAGTTAATAACATTACATCATTTTTTAAGGTATTTAATTTTAGGTGTGGCATTTCTAGCGAACCCACAAGCTCAGGAACTGGGCGATAGGTCTTTTCCAGCATTGGTAACAGACTTATTGTTATGTGTTCAGACATTCAGTAATCCAAAAAAAGTCATTTTAGGTTTAGCATAAGATTTTTGCAGCTCTGTAAGAGGGGAAACTGATTTTCTCAGTGTTGTCTGCATTTTTATCCAGACGGTCTAGGCATGAGACCTCAAGGCTGCCGTCAAACACGAGTCTCTAAATATTTTTCTTTTCAGAAATAACGCTGCAGCAACAGTATATCCCGTGTTGCACACCTATTTACTGCCAAAAGAATGGTTTTTAGTGATGATCACAAAACTACTTTAAAAGTGGATAACATTCTCTCATCTCTGCTTTATTCTTTAATATAAGAACTTAGGTAACTGTAACCTAAGGAGAACCATGTAATAATGTGTTATGACTTTCTTTAACTTATCCCTGTTACTATAGCGAACTTTTCTAAATTTTTGTAAATCTTGTAACAATTTTGTTGACAATTAAGATGTAAAAACTAACTCTATTATATCTAAACAATTATACCTTGAAGAAGTTAGACTATGTATAGATCTTGGCGAGTTATATTTGTAAAGTTATATTTAAACAACAATTATGCTAGTTCTAAATCAAAAATAGAAAGTAGTAACTTAGAAAATAATTTCCTAATATACCATTAAATATAGAAAAATACATGATTGTACAGTTTGCCTTCTGTATCATTATGTACAGTTATGAGTAGATACATTTATTTTACCGACTGTTAAATTCAGTGACATACAAAATTTGCTCTTCATTGTCAAAGTATAGTGAACATTCAGCTTATTTTTATTGTAAAGTATATCCTGTAATGACAGACAGTAAACATGTTGGTTTTGTTAAATGTAAAAAACAAAAAACAGATATGTTTAGAATTTAAACATTTAAATTTAAATGTGATAAATAAGCATCCTTTTGAGGATGTAAAAAAACAAAAAAAAAGATATGTTTAGAATTTAAACATTTAAATTTAAATGTGATAAACAAGCATCCTTTTGAGGACGACTAGACGTATAGAAATTAAAAACATCAGGAAATGCAAAAAGTATGATTAGATATAGGAAGGGAGAACTATGATCAGTTGATACTAAATCATAAAAACACAATCAGTTTTCTCATTCAGTACTCATAAAAACATTAGGTTTGATAAAATCCTTTCATGATGGATAATTGTAAAAGTATGTAAGGTAAATTATTGGCTGTGATATTTGTCTTGTTCAAATGATGGATTATATGCGAAACAAAAACTGATGTGTAACAGTGTTATAATACTAGTTTCTTAAAATAATTGCTTTACTCGTCACTTTTAGGGCATAATTAAATTAGACATTGATGACATGTTGCAACACTATGATGAGATCATCATGGCAGACTAGCAATGGACCCTATGGTTCCACTTCGTCGAACTGTGACATCATCATCTCTACCTTCCCTCCCCCTCTTTCCTGAGGTCGACACACACGTGCCATCCAACAATCCCCCTAACTACTCATGCAACTTCATATTACCTGCATAATTATTATTGTTGTATAGTTATTTAATCTCCTAAAATATTTGTTATCAGTACAAAAACTCATAACAGACTGCATACTTCAGGCACTGTAAAAATCATTTTGTTACATCTCGTGTCCAGACTGAGTCAAAGAATTCAGGTTTGCTTTAAGAAACTTTTTCAATCAAACCTCCTGTTATTCTGCAGATCCTATCAAATTACTCTTAGTGGAATTCAGTGCACATGATAATACCATAACATACTAGCAAATATTAACACTGGACACGTAATATATGTAGTTGTAGAAAAAAGCCAAAACAGCCTTCACTTAAGTTGATTTTTACATAATCACCATTAAAGTACTAAAGTTTACAACAGAAATATACTAAACTTAAGCAATACAAAAAACACCATAATAAACACTACTTTTTAACATATTTAAAATGAGCTTTGCTTACCTCGCCAAGTTCAACTTCACTTTCTAAGTTTAAGTGTCCTCTTTTGTAACCTACTCACTTGCCACGCTAGTAGGTCATGCAGTTGCAGCTGAAAATAATACAATCACGACACTTAGATAGACGCACCTTAAAAATTGAAAAATTCTATGGTTCAATGTCACAAGTGTAATAATTCTATAGACAGAAAATACAGAATAGTCACTAAGCGTGACACTTTTCTATCATGACATTGTTGTGGTCTAAACTCAATTCTAAATATCTAAACACCTTGCATTACAATAAAATCATATAGTTAACAATCAGCAAACAAGTTTAATTTGAAGTTCAAATTAATAAATCTCTTCTTGTGCTGTAATATTTTCTTATTTCATAGCATCAAATATTATCATATTTGAACTTGAAACTGTGAATGAACATATTAAGTCTTGGTTAATAATATTACTCAGAATTAACTGAATAGACTGTAAGCCTCAATAATGGCAATATAAATTTTATACACAGAATATCCTAAACATAAATTGCAGAAAAAAGTTATTCTGGGCCAAAGGATTTGGGAAAAATAAATGTATTTTTACACAAGGTTTGGTAACTAAACTTGACACATAGAATGGTTAAATTAAAACTGAACTGCTTACTAGTCAAGATAATTGATAACAGTAATCACTGCATAACAAAAACATAATTTTAATAATTAAACTTAATATGTGGATTATCCCTTATATAATTTATAAATGAAATTTTTATGGGCAAAAGTTAAGGACATATGCAATTACATGCACATGAAACAAGATTTCTGACCACTATACTTGAAGCTCTAACTGTCATTCATTTTTGTTACGAAGTATTTTCGGTAATAAAAAAACTAAGATGTAAAATTTAACCCTAAACCAATTCACTATCTAACTTTAAAAAGGAAAATATTTTTCAAGGATGGTTGTTTGTTCGTATTCACATGAAGTTACTCAAGGGCTATCTGCACTAGCTGTCCCTCATTTTTAATGACAAAATAGAGGAAGAGCAGGTAGTCAACACCACACACCACAAACTTGTGAGCTTCACTAATCAAATTATGGGATTTGACCATCACTCTTTTAAAGCACCCATGGCCTCAAAGTGCGAGCCACAATTTTTTTTTTTGGTGGTAACAAAGTGCAAACCATTAAACCTCAGATTTACTGTCCAGCACTAAACAATAGGTTGCTATTGCCCCCATCAGTTTAAATGAAATCATCTGATTTGTTATATAGAACAGCTTTTGGGTTTTTTATGCAATTGTTAAAAAGATACAAGCCAAATATCTAACCTCTAACTGATCAGTTTAATTGTCCATTATGATGATTTTGAATTAGCACTGGATCAAAATAAACTATATCAAAAAGTAAAGGTCTTTATATAAATTGTGTAAATTTTCATAAAACACACAATCTTATATCTTAGAACTGCATACCAGTTTAACTTAACTTTCAGTTCTTCTTTTGTTCTGCAAGTTCCATAGTAATAAATGAATGTCAAATAATATAGTTCATACATTATTACTGATGCATGCTTGGTAATAAAGCAATGACAAATAGCTTTGCTAAAGTTACTAGCATTAATAATTTCAGACCTTCATAAATTCATAAAAATTCAAATAGTAGTTAAACTCCCACAAACTTTTTCCTCTTGGCATTAAAATTGTTTCAAGTATAAGAAGGTTATATAGGATTTCCCTAGCAGAAAATGTATTTTTGATAAATACTTACATCTTTTCACACTGTAGCTAGGTCCTTGTGCATCTGCCTTTGAGATTTTGTGCATGCCTCTAGTTATCTCCCACCTAAGTCATGTTAACATGAGCTACACTAGTGCATGATATAATAATCATGCAACAACAGCCCTCTATCAATGGGAGGATAACACTCCATACATTTGCAATAGATACCCATTTTTAGACAAGGCAAGAATAAAGTGAACCAACAGTGGGGAGGAAGAGTGTAAAGGGGTGCAGATATACAAGTATCTATAGGATATACATTTTCAAGTAAAAAATGTTCGCTTTCAAAAAAATATCTTTACATCTCTGCTCATACTAACCAGAATCCCACAGTAATATGGTGGATAAGCTGTTGCAATTGCAAAAACCTAGGTTTTAAACTAATATATGTGGAGGCAATCTAATGATATTTTGATAAAAATCAACACAATACATAAATTGCTTCAATGTTATATATTGGATAAAACCAAAAATATATAGCAATATTAGGTACATTGTATTTTTAAACTCTACTTTCTTTATTAGGTCAAGAAGAGGCATTTACACTATATCTTTATTCTAACAAATAGCTTGTATAAACAGCATTCCAACCACTATTATGTCTACTATATTCCAGTTGACCTGAAGAGCTCTATCCATGAAGACACCAACGGATATATCAAACATGGAGTGATTGAAATACTATTGTACTCTCTTCTCCTAAAAAAAAACCTACAGGACCAAACAAAGAACACAGTGTGTAAAAGTACAATAAGCATAACATTATTGTCTTATGTTAAATCTTACTGATTTTTTTACTAATTTTTTGAATCTAAGATTATTTAGTTTCTGCACTGTAATGATAAACACACATGGTCCAGGAGGCTACCTTTGCTTTGTTGAAGTTGATTCATTTCTTTGTTTAGGTGAGTACTCCTCTGCCCTTGAAGATATTTCAGTATTACATACAGACTCTGAACTTAACAGGTTAGTACTGACATACCCTTTGTTTGCCAATTATGATATTGACCAAAGATAATTTGTTTTTTTTGTTAAGCACAAGGCTACACAATGGGCTATTTGTATTATGCCAACCATAGGTATCAACAATGGGTTTTAGCATTATAAACCATCAAATTATTAGGGAGCAGCTGAAGGTGATAACTAACCAATAATCTTAAGGAAAATAGTTCATGAGGTGATGCCATCTTCCAGACAAAGAAAGTTAACATTCCAGGTTTTAGCACCTACTTTATTGGTTCAGATCTGCTTGGTTTTCATCACCACTAGTTTGGCAGAGATACATCTTGAAAGATGGAAAGCTGGAGGGCTATTCACTGATTCAATAGAGGCAAACATCCATGTGTATATGTTGGTACACACACACACACACACACTTTGTTTTTGTTCCATCTAAATATTGTCTTCTCTGTCCTTTAAATGTGTCCAATCTGTTTATTTCTGATAAAACTTAAAATTCAGTCAAGTTATCAATTACATAACACTCTTCTCTTTCTTAATCAAACTTTCTGTTATTGGGGGTTTACTTGTCTGAAACATGTTGGGAAGTTGGTTTTTATCCATAAATACCACACTATCAAAAGGTGTTCATACTATTACAAAAAGTACATAGATTACTTGTTTCTTACACATCAGATACAAATTAACAGCTGGTACAATAATATCAAACAGATTACTTGTTTCTTGTATATTGGTTGTAGAAAAAAAAACAAAAGAAGCATTTCTTTGGCAGTTTATTTTTAAACAGTATCATGGTGGTAAAACAGTTTTGTGACATCTTATCCATAACATAACAATTTATTATACTCATGCCCTATATGTCCTGTTACTGTAAAGGAGGGAATTTATGCCAAAGACAATACCAGTCACACTGCTACTCTTATCAAAATAGCAGTGATTAAATCAATCCAAAATAAAATGCATGGTTTGATGATGATGATGAAACTAACAGTACAAACAATGATTGAAGAATTTTATCACCTCACATTCCAAATATGTCACCAAGTTTTAAAAATGTGCATCAAGTTAGCATTACTGACTCATCAAGAAAAAGTTGGTTAACAACCTATTTTACTCATTATTTATATGAGCAACTACCCTTTCTACACTGTTTGAAATTCTTTTAGAAGCTGTGCAAAAAAATAGCAGGAAACCTTACCAACCACCAAAAACATAGGTGCCCATCAGAAGATTAATATCCCAAGGAAGCCTCTCCTGTCACTATTATCACTGATATTTGTACTGAAAGGGTAATTAAATTTACAATAATCACTTTATAACTAGTATTTCATTCTTTCACAAGTGACAAGAAATCTCAAAAACACTGGGAAATACACTGTATATTAAAATATTTTGGAGTTTGGATAAAAAAAAAATGTTTTATGTTGTGACAAATAGTGCAGCCAATATCACAGCCAAATGAAAAATTTCAATGAATATTGTAGCAGCATAGTTCTTTCATTGGCAGGTTCTTTTAAATCATTGGGTAAAAATAATTCAACATCCAGTTGATGGAACAATAATGAATTACTTTATTTCCTCCTATAATGTTACCATAAACTTCAACACTTGAACATTGCTGTAGGAAAATGATGTTAACTAACACAAAACAAATCAACTTAATTTAATGTACATAATAATTAAGATAGCTATTTCTGAAGTACTTCGTGTAGAAGACAAGCTTTATCAAAAATTCTATGACAATAGCAAGAATAATCTAAGAAATCTTCTTACTGCACATAGGTTCTTTGGTGTCGGCCAATTTTGGATGGAACAAATCTTTGATAGATCTGTAGACACCCTTTCACTGCTGACCACGTGTCCTAGGAAACTCATTTATTGATGGAATAATTCACACTTTTAAGAATTCAGATTAAGGTTCTCTTTCCTCAACCAATCTTGAAACTTCCTTAACCCTTCGTATGCATTATCAAAGCCTTCCCATGTGCATTTATGTCATTCAAGTATAAGACTATATTGTTCCAGGGTAGTTCAACAAAACACATCCCATTAACCATTAGAATACAGCAGTAACATTACTTAATCCAAATGGTAGTATAGCAGTGTCACAATCCATTTCCTGCAGAAAAGGCCATCTTCTCTCTACTTGCTTTCTTTATTTCCACTTGCCAATAACTACTCTCGAGACCCAATTTTGAAAACCATTACAATCCTAACAAAGCATCCAAGGTAGAATTAATCCTCAGAAGTAGAAAGGCATCCATCTTTGTAACTTCATTCACCTATCAGTGGTCTATGTAGAACTTTGTGGATTCATCTTTTCTCACAAATACATTAGATGATTTCCAAGGACTAGTACTCATGAGTATTATCCA